TCTGATTCTCATCACTTTTCCAAGTTTTCTTGTTCAAGTCAAAAAAAAATAAAAATAATTTCCCATGAAATCGATTATGGATTTTGATAACCAAGCGCTTGGTTCGAGCCACTGTTCAACCGATGATCGAGTATAATCGATAATCGTGACATCACTACTCATCGCTCCCGTGTATTTTTTACCCCGGCTCACACCTGCCATCTTCTGCGTCTCGCTTTTCCTCGTCTTCTCCTCGACCTTCGCTCGGAACGCGTCCGGCGCCTCGCGTCGCATCCTCTCCAGCTTCGCTCCGTACTTCGCGTAGTGCGGGTTGTCGTGCAGCATCTTCATCTGGTCGTCGAGGTCGGAGGATGCTGCGCACAGCTGCCTGCGCTGCAGCGACGCGGCGAGGCTGAGCGGCGAGCGGTCGTCCCGTCATGATCACGGCGCGGGGGTCAGCACGTAGTGCGAGCACGAGAGAGAGAGAGAGAGATAGAGACAGACAGATTACGATGACGAAGGAAGATGATGTGTGATAGCGCTAGCTGTACTTAGGCTGAGAGGGTCTATGTCCCCCAGGGTACTGCCGGAACGTACCCTGGGTACGGTCCGGCATACCGGAACGTACCCTGGTACTACCTAATATGCCGGACCATACCTCGCCTACTCCACTAACGAGTCTAGGGAGTCGCCTACGCCTACTTCCTAACCCCAACCATATCAAATAGTTACCAGGGTACGTTCCGGCAGTACCCTGGGGGACATAGACCCTATGAGCAGTACTTAGTGCCACGTAGATCTACCTGTGTAGCACCTTCGCTCCACGTTTAGACCGGAAATTAGCTAGCACATGCAGTGTTGTATTTATTTTTAAAAGGTAAATGCAGAAAGTATGTTCCGACAATGTAAAAATCGAGTACGGGATGTAGTAGTGGTTATAAAATTGATCTTCTTAGATTTTACTCCTACTGCTAGTCCTAATAATATGTTCACTTTTGTTACGGTATGTGTTACCTTCGTTGCCACTAGCAACGAAATTGAATAGAAGTTAGAGGTTAAGCCCGGCGCACACGTGAGTAATTTTACTCAAGTAAAATGATGCATGCGTCAAAATACTCACGTGTGCGGCGGATTTCCGTTGAGTATTTTGAAGAATGCATCATTTTACTTGAGTAAAATTACTCACGTGTGGGCCGAGGTTTAGTGTAGTTTTGTGTGTTTTTAGTAGTAATTGTATTACTGCTACAGATTACTCACCCTCTTGCAGCATAAGCATCGCCGTAAGGCATACGCATGAAGACAGCTGCCCTGCTGCCCAGCCTCACTACCGCACCGAGAACACCGCACAACATCTCCTTTGATATCGTCTGACGTAAACTCTCGCTTAGAATGAGGGACGAATGCATTCAGGTGCTGGCTCGCACTGCGGTGCAATACTGCGTCAAGCTGCCAAGGCTAGCGTGATCTACGATGTTCCCAAATTCATGTAATTATGATGTTTTAACGCGTGTGCTACGAGAAACAGCACATCTCTTGAAAATAGTGACTAACTAGAAATTACCACACACGATCACGCACACGATGCGCGAGGCCATTGTAATTCACGTCCGCGCCATCTAACGATCGCTATCATAAACATAGCAGCTCCCGTACGGGCACCGGTAAACTCGACTGTGTGTGCGTGCACGGTGCGTGCGTGCGTGCGTGCGTGCGTGCGTGTTTGCTTATTTGTGTGGTTGGTTGTTTGTGTGAACGCCACGCGTGTGTGGCGCGTGTATAGCTGCGCGTCGATGGCTGTGCGTGTGTGGCTGTGCATGCGTGTATGAGTGTGCGTGTGTGGCTGTGCGTGTATGAGTGTGCGTGTATGAGTGTGCGTACCTCCTCCTCCTCCTCCTCCCCGCACGCCACACCGAGCTCCTATAATCACACCATTACTCCAAGAGATGCCTCTAATAGAGGCTAAGCTATTGTGCGGCCGCGCAGGGCTCCGTTGTAGCCCTGCCTCTCCGAACCCTCATCCCCTGCCGCGGCGAAGTCTCATGTACTGTCTACAGTCGACATTGTGGGGATGTTGACCCTGCTACGCTGCTGCTATCTGCTCGTCTGATCGGGTGAAAGTATCTCTTCAGAGTTCATCACTCGATGGGGGAGCGATCCGTAGTGATGTACAAGCGCGGGAACATCTTTGCACTTACTGGTCATACACATTCCCTACTACTTACATATTATTATAATTTTATTATATTATTATATTATTTTTATTTTGTATTAAAATTTTTTTTTTTCATGTATGATTGCGATAATCGATGTTTTAATCAGACCCCAGCGTCAATAACTACTGATATAAATCAAAATCAGAGAGCAATCGAAATTCCTCTATCATACTACTTTGAAGCTTCCTGGTCTCCCTGTTCGGAGCTGCCATATATAGTACCAGGCAGAGATAATAGTGTATCTATGTAGCATCAAATATCTACTCCTGATTGTATACTAATTATAACCCTAACCATTACCCTGACCGTGACCCTAATTCTAATCATAATCATAACCATGACCCTGACCCTGACTCTAACCATAATTCTAACAACGCGATCTAATCTGTCACACATCCTCTGCTCATGGCAACCAGTTGCATTAGTACGTGTGTGGGTGATAACCGCTAG